GGCCATCATCAAGTAGTGAAAAGATCCTTAAATGATCGTGAGATGAACTCAAATCGTGTTGTTGCTGGAACAGGTTTTTACGGATTAAACTCGAATCAACTCAAAAAACCTGCTGGAATTTTTGTCGACGTGAATTTGGATTTATATGTGGCAGATTATATGAATGATCGAGTTCAGCTGTTCCATCCAGGAGAATCAAATGGTATCACGGTAGTTGGAAGTAGATCACTAAATCCAACAATTAAACTTGCTTGGCCAAGTGGAATTATATTAGATGCTGAGAAATATTTATTCATTGTGGATTTTGGCAATAGTCGCATTATTGGTTCAGGCTTGAATGGTTTTCGATGTTTGGTTGGATGTTATGGAGTGGGCTCACAATCCAATCAGTTAAATATTCCATTTAGTTTTAGTTTCGATCGTTCTGGAAACATCTTTGTGGCTGATACAGATAATCATCGAATTCAAAAATTCTTATTGATGAAAGAATCTTTTGGTAAGTTGAAGAAAAGTTGAATAAAATGAAGAGATATGAATAGATAAGTAACAGCAGTTAAGAAAGACATTTCACTATGAAAAATGAAAGAAAACAAAAATGGCTCAGAAAGATTAATTAAACCAATGTGTAAAAGAATGTGTCTAAGAAAACGAAATCTTTAGATTAGATAAAGTCATGTGCTAATCGCCTAAAGCAAACAATCTTCGCGTTTTTGTGTAGATTATAAAGAACAGAGACGGAAAAAGTTATGTCCTTAATGGAGTGGTAGAAAGAGCTTTCATGATTCATTTCATGCCTCAAATAATATTTCATCAATCAAACAGTTTTTATCAAAATAAAATCTGTTCATATCTTTGTTGATATAGTTTTAATATAAATTATTCTATGATTTGACTTCATATTTCATATTTCGATATGTTTAGTTCAAGAAAAATGGCACAAATAAAATAATAGAATTCTAACAACTAATTTTTCTTCTTTTTTTTTGCGCAAAATGAATGTAGTCATTGTTTCTCTTTGAGACAGATAACTTTCAATATTAAATATTATAAAAAAATGAATTTTTCCATAAAGAAATGATTGATTAAGGATGTGTTCTTTGGATAGTTATCATAATATTTAATTACAGAGGATAATATTGAATAGGTGAAGTCAATTTATAATGTGATATATGTAATTGTTAATGAGATGTATATGTTATTATTATTTCTATAAAAGAATTGTGAATAAAAACATTTAATTGTCTGTTTAAATTCATTTATTTAAGATGATCGATAAGAAAAATTGATTTTCAACATAATCTAGTTTAGATTGTTCTTAAACGAAAATTTTACATAAGTCAATTAACGAAGTTTTGTCTATATTTCTAAACTTCAATGAGAAAAAGTTTTTTTGATTGATGAGAAATTTTTTAGTTTTACCAATATTTATTTTATTTTTCCTTGAAGATGTGTAGCTAATGATTATTTTCGTTTTAAGAAAATCATTTATTCTTTTCACATAAAAATAAAGATTTTCTTGTTTTGTTCTTTATTTCATTAGAAAAACGTTGAAGTCTGTAAAATACTATTATGATTATAAAGAAAGATTTGTTTTATTTATATTGAGCAAAGACGAAATATTCTAATCTTTGATGAACCTTTGAAACTTCTTGAGATAAAAAGTCTCCGTACGACAATTTGTACAAAGAGTATTTGTAGAGAGGCAAGAAGAATTTTTGAGGATCATAACAGATCTTATTTTTTCCTTTTTTCTCTGGTTTTTCTTTCTTTTTTCACTCAGTACCGATATGACATATAGTTATATTATTTTTTATTTCCTACTGAAATTTACTAAGATAAATCGAGTAATATTCACATCAATAGAGGCAACTGAGATAACATAGTGATATTTATCATTTCCTTTTGATTTCTTCTCTAAATTAACTTTAAATGTTTATCAGAAAAAAGTTTGAGAAACTTTGAATAAATGTTTGAAAAATGAAATACGTTTTTGAACTAATATTTGAAAAAAAAGATCTGCAATAACATATCTACAAAATGATTTAAAAAAAACCAGCTGGATGATCAAAAAATTCACTCCAGAAAGGCAAATGAAAAGTTCAAAATTGCAAAGAAAGAGATTTGATTGATAAAAATCTTTTCTTTTCTGCTGATTATTTTTCCTTGAATAAATTATTTCTTTTATTCAACTATTTTCTTTGATACAATTTATTCAGATCTTCCAGAAAACTTTTCAATAAAAAGTAATAAGCAAATGTTTTATCTAAAATGATCAACATTGATGTTTTACACAAAAATATTTTAACAATATCACAATTCATATTTCATACGACAATTAATAAAAATCATTCCTAAAATCAATGTTAACAAACATTTCTAAATATCTTTTTCATGAAAAATTTCTTTGAAGAAAATTTACTTTTCTTCAACGAATATAGAAACTAACAATTTCGTTTCGTTGAGTTCTTCTGTAATATTCTTTATATATTTGTCATTTTAGCTCTTTCATTCAATCAAACAAAGTTTTGTCCAACTGCCACTTGGGACTCCAATGGAATTATTTTTGCTGATCGATCGATGGCTGGTGAATATCCTACCGCCATTTTTGTGAGCACAAATAACACAATCTATGTTGCTAATCAACAAAAGAACACAATTGTTATGTGGGAAGAAGA